CTATCTACCTACCTACCTACCTACCTACCTACCTACCTACCTATCTATCTATCTATCTATCTATCTATCTATCTTGTTTGTTTGTTTGTTTGTTTGTATACCGCACTGGTTAGTAGTAAACACTACTCTGGCTGGTTGCATCCAGAGTGAAATGAATGTTATGTTAAGTAAAACAAAACATAAATACCGTAAGAAACAAACACAACATGTAATCAGTAAAAACAACCATCCAATAAATCAATGAAAACCAAACAATGGTGAACGGGCAATCTAAACATAGTCAAGTCATATTATGTTCGGACGTCTCAAAGGCTTCAGAGGCTCAACAGCCTTGCCTTGAGCCTCCTCTTAAAGAGGGTGAGGAAGGAGGCCTAGACCAAAAAGGGCCCCTTTCTGGTAGACACGTTCTTGGCTTCCCTCACCCTGGCAACATGGAGGAGCATGGCTTGCGAGGAACTGGTGGTGGAGGTTTTCTCAACAAAATCTATGCAAGTGGCCTCTGTGCAACACTAGTGGCCTTTCCATTCGGGAGGCCCAGAGCACACGCAGAGGTAGCACAGAAAAACCATTCAATGCTTCTAAAAGGTGCAGAGAGAGAGGGAGGGAGAGAGGGAGAGGGAGAGGGAGAGGGAGAGTCCATACAACAATCCATTGGATGCACTATGGAAATCCAAACTTGGACTTCCCTGGATCTGTCCCAGCATTCTACCCCACCCTGACTCTCCAGACAGCCATGCTGGTCCTCTCCGGTCATTCTCCTGCAAATGGGAGAACATTGGGTAGGTCCTCCTCTGCCTGCTTGCCATGGGATTCGTTTTCTTTAATTGCAGTTGTCCCACAGAGCTGTTTGCTGACCATCACATCAGCGCTTGGTCTGGAGGAACAGATTTCTTGGCTGTTTTTGTTTGCAAAAAAAAGGAAAGAAAAGAAAAGAAAATTTGGAGCTACATCAACCACAGATGAAACAAAAGCACCAGGCCCGGTGTCTGCTTTTCATAGCTTTCCTTTCTTTGTCTTTTCCTTTTTTTAGGACTAAAGGGGAGATCCAGTCTGTCACCCCACATGGAACGGCTTTTCTTTTTTTTTCAGCCAAGCTTAGAGAAGTTACTTTTTAGGCCAGTTACTTTTTCTCAACCTTCTTTTTGGCCATGGCCGTTTTGGGACCTCTTCTCAGGTTCTACGGCCCCCTGTCCAAAAAAAAAAAAAAAAAAAAGGAAAGCTTTTGGCCATGTGCAAACCAGGATCAGACATGAACAGGGGAATCTGTGGACCCCCCTCAAATGTGCCAGGGTCATTTGGTTGGCTCATTTAGACCACAGTTCTCAGTTTTATGGGATGTGGTGGCGCTGCGGGTTAAACCACAGAAGCCTCAGTGCTGCAAGGTCAGAAGACCAGCAGTCATAAGATCAAATCCATGTGATGGAGGGACCTCCCGTCGCTCGTCCCAGCTCCTGCCAACCTAGCCGTTCAAAAGCATGTAAAAATGTGAGTAGATAAATAGGTACCACCACGGTGGGAAGGTAACAGCGTTCTGTGCCTAAGTCGCGCTGGCCACGTGACAACGGAAACTGTCTTTGGACAAAACAGTGGCTCTATGGCTTGGAAATGGGGATGAGCACCTCCTCCTAGAGTTGGACATGACTGGACTAAATGTCAAGGGGAACCTTTACTTTTACCTCTCAGTTTTTTGGACAAAGGTCAAAGGATGTATGACAGACATGGGGCAGACTGAATTCCTCTCTTCAGCATGCTCCTTTTACTCTGAAAGCGTCATCAATCCCTCATCTCCGTACGTATTACATTCCACGGCCACCGGACATCCATCGTTGTCTCCATGTCACCCTGGGAAGGTTTAGGTTTGGTCTGCATCCCAGCTGAAGGCCTCTATTCCTAGATCAGCTCTTACTGCTGTTATTCCTGTTGTCCCTGAACACCCTTCTTGTTTCCTTGGCTGTCAGGTGAGCCGCTTGGAAGGCGAGCTGAGAAAGCACCAAAGATGGACCCCTGCCAGAAATGGTCAGCCGCGGAAAGCCGGAGTCACATGGAACAAAAGATGACCCCCTTTGCCGTCTGCGCTCAAAGCACAGGAGGGAGGTAATCGGAGATCCTTTGACTCAGGGTCGAGACTTAAAAGCAGCTGCTTTCCAGCAGTGAACCTTTTCATAGCTTCACCCTGGAAAGTAGAGAAGGGTCATCCTTGCTGGATCTGTTACGATGCACTGAATTATCCCAATATTTCTATCTGTGCACCTCCGGATTTGCTCCCTACCATCTCACACAAATGGCCCTCTCCTTTCGTCAGTCTTCTATGCTCTCTCTCTCTCTCTCCACCTCCTTCACTATCTCTTCCCTCCCCTCCTTGTTTTAATAATTATGTGCCATCAAGTCAATTCTGACTTCCGGTGACCATTTCCAAGGTTTTCCAGGTAGAGAGTCTTAAGAAATGGTTTACCATTCCTTTCCTCTAGGGGGCACCCTGGGACTGTGCAGCTGGCCCAAGGCCACCCGGGCTGGCTCTGATCACAGGAGGTGCAGGGGGGGGAATCAAACTCCCAACTCTGGATCCGCCAGACATCTTGTTTAGACTCTCATTGAGGGCGCTCTGCATGACCTCCCTTACGTGGCAATTTAAAAGCAGACCTACAAAGGGCAAATCACAGGCACCTATACGTTTATAGCTGGCAAAGATTTCCGAGGTTTATCATAGCTGACTTTTCCCAGTAAAGGGTTAAAACCAGTATGAAATCAGACAATCATAAACAAGCATTTAAAAGTCTTCTGTTTGGTCAGTAAACGAACTGACTCAAACCACAGAACTGCCAAAGTTCGTGCCCATCTCTAATGATAACTTCTTCTTTTTTTCTTTTCTCTTTTTTATTTTTTTATTTTATTTTATTTTATTTTATTATTTTGCTTTAGCACTATGGCGCAAAAGTGATTGCATGTTTAAAAAGTGAAAATGCGGAGTGCAGGAATAGCCGATACCCCAAAGAAAACCAAAGAAGAGTGGCAGTAGAGTGGAGAAGGACCCATCCAAAAAAACCCCTCATCAGGAGACATTGCCATCACATGACATTCAGCCGACAAAGTGTACATACGGGCATGCATCAGTGCAGCACAGTTACTAGGGTCTTACAAGAGCATAATGCGTCCTGGGGCAAACTGGAGCAAGGCAGAGCAAAAATACTACAAACCCCCCCCCCCAAAGGTGGAAAGCAAGCGGGGGTTGTCCTACTTTGACTCTGTGGAGTCGCAGTTTCACTTTGCTTTGTGTAGACACTGGGATGCGGTGCCCGTGTCATCATGGGTGCAAGGAAAAGCAAGCAAACGCTCCATGTAGATGCGCACATGGGTTTTCCACTCAGATCTCCTCCTTAAAACTGTATTCCTCTGCCATCAAGTAAAGGAAAGCATCTTGGTTCCATGTTGTCCTACTTTGACTCTGTGGAGTCGCAGTTTCACTTTGCTTTGTGTAGACACTGGGATGCGGTGCCCATGTCATCACGGGTGCAAGGAAAAGCAAGCAAACGCTCCATGTAGATGCGCACATGGGTTTTCCACTCAGATCTCCTCCTTAAAACTGTATTCCTCTGCCATCAAGTAAAGGAAAGCATCTTGGTTCCATTGGAGTTTTTCCAATTTAACTGGCATCTTGGAAACACATATACTTTTATTTAGGGTTCCTGTGAGGACTCTGGCTTTCCCACCATGACATTTTTGGTGAGAGAAGTTGGCAAGCCTAGAATGTGGCCAGTTTTTATTTCCATTTCTTTTGGGCAACTGTTCTGATTGGAAACACTCGCCCTTCGGTCTGTAAATTCCCCGCTTCCTCCTCTTCAGGCTATTTCAAGCAATTGTCGACAGGTTGCATTTCCGCTTTCCCGCTCTGCCCCCCCCCCAAGAAAAGCCAGTTTTACTTCAAGGAAGCCCATTTCTGTCAGGTGCACCACCCAGGTGCATTTGAATCCTGGACAGGCCACTGTGCTTCCAGAACGATCTGCTTCCCACAACATACATTTCTCAACATCCTGGACTTCCTCTGGCCTCAATGAAGGAAGAGCTAATCCTGCAACCCTACACTGTCCTGTTTTCGTAGCCTAAGCGGTGGATTTTCATAAGCTCCAAGGAGGGTGCTTCATATCCTCAGCTAAGAAGAGTGGCCATTGTTCCAGAAGAAGCTCCCACTCCGGGGAGATCTTTCTTCTCCTCCATCAGCTTCCCCCTTCCCCAAAAGATCCTGCCTTTGGCAGATGGATACTGTTGAATCCTTCCATCGCAGGACGTCAAAGACCGACCTGAGGATCGAGCGAGGCCAACGTTTGCTGCCGCTAATAATCTGTCCAAATTGCTGGGCTGTCAAGTCAAGATATCCACTTTGAAGGAAATCAACCCTGAGTGCTCACTGGAAGGGCACATCCTGAAGCTGAGGCTCCAGCACTTTGGCCATCTCATGAGCAAAGAAGACTCCCTGGAAAAGACCCAGATGCTGGGAAAGAGTGAAGGCAAGAGGAGAAGGGGGACAGTGTCATGGAAGTGACCAACATGAATTTGACTCAACTCCAGGAAGCAGTGGAAGACAGGAGGGCATGGCGTGCTCTGGTCCATGGGTCACGAAGAGTCAGAGGTGACTTAACAACTAAACAACAACAACAAGTCAAGAGAAACATCGACGGGCCTGTAAAAGTCAGCAGGCAACAGGTTTATGGCTTTGGCATGCAACAAGAAAGGACGCGTCTCAAGCAGCCACCCCTGCCGTGCCAGGTGCTCAGTTCCCCCATGTTCAAACACACTGCTGGAAACGGAGCTGGACCGGACTTCCCCTCCAGGTGATGTGCTTCATCAGTCATTGTTCTGAAGTGATGGGAAAGTTATGAGATAAACACCTGGCTGGGTGGAGCCCTCCCTGGCTGCTATCTTCCGATGGGAATGGCCTTGCCCTGCTAGTTCAGGCTGCGTTCTTCCGTTTGCTTCTGTGCTTTCCACAACAGGCATTTCCAAATATTGTGCAGAATGACTTGGGAACCATGACATACATTGCAGCAAACCATTGGGCAATAAGGAAGCACCTCCGTAGGCTGATCTTGGAAGCACCGCATGTCTGAGTCCAAACTCCTTGAAACCTATGCTGTGGCTCTACCAGTCTCGGGCCAGCTTGATCTACAGCAGAAGGGGGGTAATCAGGAGGTCCACAGGGATGGGCTCCAGCAGCAAAGAGCTCTCTTCTTCTTGCTACACCATCCCTACTTCAGCCAGCATGAGAGCCTGGGAAATGCCTCGGTAACACATCCTGCGGCCACAGTTCATACCAGAGTGAAATGGGTAAAGCCGCTGTGATTTGCTGCAAGGAAGGCTGGGAACTGTAGTTCTGCAAGGCTTCTGCAGGAGGCTTTCCAAAGTACCATTTCAATACAGGCTTCCATGCCAGCTGGGGGAGAGCCATCAGCATGACACAGGTTAATGTTTGTAGTATTAATAGGCATTCAAAGCCACAGCATGCATTATCCCAGTGGGTCTGGAGCTGACTCTATGAGCCTGCATTGGTCACCCACAGCCACGGCAACATACCATTGGGATTTATGGCCCATGCCAGTTCCACTCTGCAGGTTCAACTGGAAATCCATGCCCAGGGTTTGATTTATGGTGCTCTATTTTGAGGTGCTTTTTTAAAAAGCAAAAATAAAACTATGGTGCTACACAATGTCTCATGCTCGTTTCTGGCGATGGCTCATGTCATTCTTCCTGGGCATGGAATTGTCTTTGAAAGAAGAGGACCCAAGAGCCAGTGCTAATAATACCCTTAGGTCTGTTGACCTTCTCTTTGTCCATTCATGGTTGGCTTCTGTTCTCCTGCCGTGCCCCTTTGCTGTCATTTGAGAGCCAAACCCCTTCTGCAGAATGAAAGGCTTTTCATTGTCTTTTGCCTCCCACATGGAGTGGTGAGTGAGAAGCTGCATCGCCAGAAACCCCCGTACTGATGGGGCTCTGTCCGCTAGAATCAAGAGACCCGAGCTAAGTGGGATGTAGCAATTCCTCTACTAATTAGGCTCGCCTCTCCTGTTAGGCAAGACGGACATTCCCTTAACAATAAGCCATGTTCTCAGATGATCAAGGTGGCATCATTACTGGCTTCCAAACTAATGATTTTTGAGTCATTGCATTTCCACCCTTTATTCAACTGCTTTTATGAAGAACTGAGACACCACTGTTCCCCATTATTTCTTTGTGATCTTCCTGGTTTTATACAGACTTGATTGATGGTGATACATGGGTGGGGAGAGGGCAGAAAAGGCAAAATCTGTGCCGCTCAATCTGCTGTGGGCTAGAAAGAGGCTCAGATCCATTGGAGTATTAATCAGTAGCCTTCTCTGCATTTTCTACCCATGCCATTGCTTCGTGCTCTACAGGTAACACTATAATGCCATTTTGCAATAAAGAAGAGGAAGGCAGCAGTTAAATTTCCCCTTTGTCAGGATGGAGCACCTGATTGATTAAAAGGTAACTGAGAGGCCGGCTATACAAGAATGTATCCCGCTCTGTAGCCCCCCTGCTGGAATGGTTGGGATTACTCTTTACAAAATAGTAAGTCCACAGCATTATTGTTAGAACATTCCTTAACACCCATCCCAGATTGTCTAGAGGTGGACCCTACTGTATATTTGGAATGATTAGGGTCAGTCCAAATAAATATGGTTTCCTTGCAATGTGATCACCTAGATAGCTCCGGTGTGGGGTTTTGGGGTGAGGGTGGGTGGGTGTTCTTTCTACATGTCAGCAAAGATGTGTAGAGATGGGTGGGGTCTAGCCATGACTGCAGATGGCACACTCCATCCTCTTTGGAAGTGAATTTTCATTTAGTTTTTTTCTTTTAAAATGTACTTTTCACTATTGGACCACATCACGTAAGGGCTATAAAGTACAAAGTCTGAAGAGGATACCCTTGCTGTGCAGTTTCACCTTTACACACATCGATTGCCTTCTGGTCAGGCAAAGTTCATGTTGCTTGACACCTCTCAATGAAGACTGCATAACACAAGAGTACAGTAGGCACTAATGCTTATTTTTTTAAAAAAATGTAAATGCATTTCAGAAAGGAAGAGAGACAAAGGATCACTTGCAGTTCTTCAGCAATGAAACAATGCAGCACTATGCACTTGAGAAAAATTATTTTTTAAAAAAAATAGGAGAAATGCGGGGTTGAAACATGGCACTCTTTACTCTCCTCTTTGTGTCCATAAAAACCCAGCACTAATGTCCACCTGCAAGCACAGGGAAGCAGGGTGTCTCTTAACAAGCTGAGAGCCATTGCAAAAGAGAAAGCAAGAGGTGGGGAGGCAAGAGGGGGAGGGGAACAAGGTGACCAAATGGATCAAAATGAAGCGACCAACATGTGGTTAATTAGATCTCACCTACAGAGGCTTCAGTAATAACTTCCATGGGAACAGACGGAGCAATCTAATCGAGCCTCGCCATTCCAAAGAGATAAAGACTAGGTCACTCTGTTACTAATGTAGCCTCAGCGTTATGCTGTTGCATGGCAAACAGGAAGGAATAGCAGAGACAGAAGGTGAAGGAAGAAAGCTTCTTAAATCAATTTGCAGAAGATCTCTGTGGAAAGGACTTGCTTCCCCCATAGTAGCCCTCCCCACGATCTGTGTTGGTAAATCAATTATCTAACAAGGAAGCAAAAGGAAAAGAAAGCTTCCTCATCCCACGCTGCTACTGAAGGGATAGGGATATAAGTTAAGGATTCTCCTTTAGTCCTGGTTGAAGCCATAGTAGCAGTAGATTAGTGACCAGAACGGGAAAGAATCTCTTTGTGTTCTCTTGCAAAAGGCTGGTCACATCCTCTAGTAAACTCAGGCTTTTTGGCTGAGCATGTCAGGAACTCCTTTCCTGCTATCCGTACCAAGAGTGCAAAAGGCTTCATACAAGAATCATAGTCAATGACTCTTGCTCATCTACAGGCATTCTCAAAGCTGGGAAAACCTGTCCATTTTTGGACTACAACTGGCTGTGGGAGTCTGGGAGTTGTGGCTGAAAAAAGTAAGGCTCTAAGGCTTCTGTCATGGACGTGGATGCCTGCCACAACTGGCAGCTTATTGCAGATGGATGGCAAGGAGGAATGGTTTGTAAACCCATGACCTACATCCTGTTCTACCACTGCTGTTCCATATTTTCCCCGGGAACTTCTGTTGCAGAGTTTTGAATTTCTACTAAAATTGCAGTAGAAGTACACAGACTCACAAAGGAGAATAGCTACAAATTCCCCAGATAGTCCACTCCTTTCTCATTGGCATTTAGAGTCTCAATACCTTACTATGGGATATTTGTAGTAGAAAAAAAGTTTTTTTAAAAAAAATT